TTTTTTCCCCCTCATTCTCTTTAATCAAGTTCAGATGACTTTCTTCATCTTCAAATGAGCAGGTTTTTCAATTTTAGGCTGAAGAGATTAACTATAACCATAGGAAGCTGTCTCAAAGCTGCTGTTCAGTTTTGTTCTTTCAGAAACGGGGCCTTGTCTACTCTTCCCAGTCCTCCTCTGACAATTCAGAAAGTGGAGAGCTGTCCTGTGTCTGAGGCCAGTGGGAAATTCGCAGGCTTAGGGTTGAGCCTTCAGTCTTGCAGGAACTGCTGCTGTTTGCTCTGCTCCTGCTTTTGTTTATGGAGTTTATAGGACCATTATTAAATGCAGCCTCTCTGAAAGGAATGTTTTCATAGATTCCTATAGCCAACTGACAAGTTCATAACAAAAATTCACCGCTGTTAAAACATGTGCTTCAGTTGGACTTCCTGCATCACCTAAAGATTGAATTTGCAATGCTGACGTGTGTTAAAAGACAGGAAATGCAGATAAGGTTCAATTAGTAACATTAATTCACCTGCTTCACTGCTGTTTTGCTTTTCAGATGAAATACATATGCTAATGTCATTTCTTGTAAAATTAGGCATATATCAACATGTAGCCTTTTCAATGTAAGTGTGTTGTACTCATACCAGACTTAAGGATTTTGTGTCACATTTCATCAGTTTTAGATGTGGAAGGTTATCAAAACAAGCTCATTGCTATTTTCTTTATCGTTTATAAATTGCATCTAGGTAGATATCAAAAACTATATGGAAGGTGCAATGAAATACAAGCTAGGAGTATGTTTTGAAGGTGTGGAAGCAGAGTGTGTGACAGCTGAGCATTTATTTGCAGTTCTAATGAAACATGTTGATCATGTATTGTAGAGCCTTTTGTAGAGCTTAAGTTCTTACTTTAAAACTTTGACATGATTAAAGCCTTTAATCTTAAAAAAATTGAAATCCCAGTTGCTGTATATTTTAGAGTTGCAGCATGTCCTTAGATGATCAATTCTAGTTTTGGCATAAAGGCTTTCTGTTTTGTATGCAGGAGGAAATTATTAGTATTAGCTTAGTCTTTCTGCTTACTGTCATATCTGTAGACAAAGTATATTTCTGGAACAGTAACTTACTGATGCATGCATTCTTGCTTTAATATGCCACCTATACAAAACAAATTCATGTGGAAACAGTGATTGCCTAAGAGTTCTGAGGCCGTTCTGTAGCACAAGAAAGCCCAACATTGACTACCCATGCTTCGTATAAGGCTTTGAGATTGCGATGGTTCCTTCAAGGAGAATTCAGTGTTTTCAGAAGGTAGGGAGGGGTGGAGAGCTGTTATGGACAAGTGACTGTGAGCAATTATCTCTGATAGGAATGTGGTTTCTCAAAATGTAGGTTCTGTGTTTAACTTAGGATTTGATGGTATTAGCTATTTATGATGTGTTACACTTTTATTTTTTTTAATGACAAAGACCTAAATTGGTTTGCATCTAGATAGAATCTCAGAACTTAATCCACCAGGGGACGAGGGGTGGAGGATGCTAAGTGTTACTTGTTTTGGAAGAATATTAGTAATGGAAGGTTATCTCTAAGAGTGGGGTTTGGGAGAAGGGCTTATGTTTGTTTGGTTTTGGGTGGGTGGGTGTTGCTCATAAAACGTCTGATGCATGTGAACTTTAATGGTTTCGAAGAACTCATCTATATGAAGGATTTTACTGGTTTTTGGTGTGTAAGCCACAACCTGCTGGATTTTATTCTCAGCCTTTTTACTAGGAATTGTCTGCCTAAAGGGATTTGCTTACAAAATTGTTTATTACAGTTATACTGATACTTCTCCATCAGTAAATAATTTCTTGCAGAAGAGGAACATGTTAATGTAGAAGTATTAATGATATAGAGCTGTCAGTAGTTTCTTTACATAGGAAAGCTTTGAATTGGTTCACAGACTCTGGAAGAGCTAGCCATTCTTGCTGTCAGCTTAGTCAACTTTGAGGTGAAGGATACTACTTTCCCACCTCCAAGAGATTTCAAGGATTAGTGAATTTGAGATGAAGTGGAAAGTTTCAAGTGTCTATCTGTATTTGTTCTAGTGTCTTATCGAAATGTGAGACCCTAAGGGTTTTGAGACACAAGCTATGGCTAATCCTGCTGCAGTAGTTTGACAGTAACATTCCTCCTGTTACACCTTCTTGGTAGCGGAGTCATCAGAATTATTTGGCAAAAAGGAGTAAGTGCTTGTTACCTGCATAGGTAAATATCCATACTAAACTGCCCATTGCTCTGTTTCTGCAAATACGGAATGTATTTCCATATTACTTTTGACTTGTGCTAAGTGCAGCAGTCTGATAAGCCGTGGGTGAGTAATGCCATTTGAAGCTTATCACCTCTGTTTCAGTCCTTTAATGGCTCTGTGATGCTTCAGCCATTTCTTGGCCCTTTCTATTCTTACTCATCATTGATTGTTTGAGACCGACTGTAGGTGCAGCTGACTGGCATCTACAGCTTGTCAAGGCAGAGGTACCATACCCTGAAGCTCAGCCAGAATGGTACCTTTCAAGATAGCTGCAAGATTCTCTCCAGTTATGTTTTTCTGTTGAAGCAAAATCAGTTGAAGAGCATAATGAAATACGTATGAGAGGGAGAAAATTGCTGCAGACGCTAGTCTGAACCACTCTAAGTATTTCTCTGCAGGCTGCCTCTTAGGAGAGCACGTCAATGAATTCACTAGGTGCCATAGCATCCAGAGCCAGTTAGGAGAAAATTACTGCAACTTTTCAGTGTGTGTGGCTTTAGTTGTTGGATTTTTTAAAATATATAAATAATTAATACAATGTGTGACACATGTTTAAGCTGCATATTTTAGTATTGGTCACTACAGTTTTTGGCTGTAACCATCAGCTCCTAAGAGGAGGCTTTTCCTAGCAGTGCTGCTTCATAAAATCATTTTAATTATTTCTGGTGTGGGGTTTTTTTCTTTTCATCATACTTCTGCCTCTAATAACTTTTCCTTTGCTCCTTTCATTGCTACTTGTTTCAAAACCGTTACAGGCTGGTTTGCATAATTTTTGAGCTTATAGAAGATATTCTACAACTCTTTTTACAGCAGAATACGGTCAGACCGTTACTATTGTGCTCTCTGTGTCTTAGGAAATTGTCTAATCCATCCCTGAAATTTTTTTGGGGAAGTGCCTTTTCACTGACCCTAATACCTGGATGTGAGGCTCAGAAAATGGAGGAGAAAGAGAATGTAGAGAGAAATTCTATTTCTATTGACTAGTACAGGTGTTCATCCCAGAAACTGCTCCCTTGAAACAACTTGATATTAAAACAAGGGATATTGCAGCTTTCAGAGAAGAGACCAGATTGTGAAACCAGATTTTGTCCAGTAACTTTCTCCTTGCTTCCTGAGAAGAAAAAAAATTGTGATTTTGTGTGGTGTTTTAACTATTCTTGATAAATTGCTTTAGATAGGTGCCACAGCGTCGTAACCTGGATCACGGGAGAAGTATTCAAATTCCATAATAAAAGAGATTTTTTTGTTTTGGTTTTTTGTGTCCATGGCTCGTTAGTAAAAGCGTGATTGTTTTTCTGTGTAATCTGTAAAGCAGTCGGTCCAGTTTTAACTTCCATAGTCTGATTTGCAGTCTGGCAGTTAGCATGGAAAAGTAAATCAGACTGACCTAATTTGATCAACCGGTGTCACCTCATTTCAGTGAGGTGTTGGTATGGGGTCCATTTTGGGTCTTTCTCCTCACCCTCATTTGTTAAAATACTTCAAAATGTATCTTAGGAAATAATATGTCACAAATCTTTGTCCACAGTATATGTGAGAGTAGTAGAACTGGGTTGTAATAGGCAGTAGCCTTTCTAAATTATTAGATTTGCCAAATGTTAGAAACTGGTGTAACATAAAAGAGATGTTAGAAGAATGTCCAGGCTAGTTTTGGATTGACACTTAATTAATAGCAATCGTGTCTAGGGGAAGGGTCTGTTGAAGAATTAATTATTTAAGATTGCTTATGAAGTTAGGGGTGAAAGTATTTCTGATTTTCTCTTTTTAGCTGTTCTGATGGATAGACAGGAGATATTTCTTTGTATGAACTTCAAGAACTGACCAACTTGACTAGCTAAGCCCATGCTCATGGGTGAATAATCTTTTTAACAAAAGCTGGTTTTATCCCATCATATGTTAAGTATTTACTGGCTAGGCTACCAGGTTGTTTTTTTCCTAACTTCCTGGTGGTATTTTTCTGTTATCAAAAAGAACCTGACCTGCTAATGTAAAAATAGGCTGTGTAGAAACAAAACAAGCCCTTTTTTTGGTTGGCAGGAAGCCAGGTTAAAATGAATGTCTTCTGTGTCTGCCTTAAGAGGTATGCAACGTCTCTTTGCATATCATTCTTAAAGTAGGGATTTTTAAAAGCATTGGGATGGGGAAGCTTTTGGATAGTCATCGTGTGTGTTCTTAAGTCTTTCAATTGACATCAGAATCCTTGAGGCAGTGCCTTATGCTTGAGTGCTGATGGCTCCTCTTCTCCAAGCCAGTAGCATTGAAGAAGTGGAGGCTGAACACACAGTTGTTATAGACGAGCTAAGAGGAACTTGCTTTCGTGCTTCCACGGCAGACGTTTTCACAGTTAAGGAATTTCACAGTAACTTTTTTAATAGTCCAATCTGATTTAATTCCTTTGGAAGTATCAAACACTATATTGTATTTACAAAGAGATGACACTTTCCTGTAATCTTAAATATTTAGCAGTAAAATTAAGAAATACCATTATTGCAACAGAAAGTAAGAATTTTGGTGTTTTGTCATTAAGATGCACCTTGTGGCACTTACTGCTACCAAGTAACACACAGATAGAGGGTGTACCTGTGTAAAATTTTCCGAAATTGTGCAGTGAACAAAGGGGATTTTTACACTGTATTTTAGAAAATAGAAGCTATTGCCTAAAATTGCTAATTAATGAGGAAAAAAATGATGCCTGTTTCTTTCTTCTCCTCTGTCAGGTTTGTAAATACTACCTTTGTGGCTTTTGCCCAGCCGAATTATTTACAAATACCCGTTCTGATTTAGGTAAGTCTATAAGTCTTGTAACTTTTAATCACTTATATGTAATCACAATTAAACTTTTGTTTGCAAACTGCATTTTTATTGTTTAATACTCTGTCAAAACACTTTGAAAATAGGCTTTTTTATTTTTAAAGGATTGCCAGTGATATAGTATGTTAAGAGCAATATTTATTCCAGATCCTACTTCCTCTAAGTGGAAAAAACTTTATTTTTTAATTTTTTTCTTACAGTGTAAGCTAAATCATTGGGTGCGGGGTGGTTTTCTCCTCCTGAAGTGCTGGCTTCTAGTTTGGTTTATTCTACCTGGGCAGGGTTTTAACTTACTTTTGTGTGAGTATAGGTTTTTTGAGCTTCTTTACGTTAGAGACTCATTTACTGTAATAGTTATTACTGAAGGCCATCTCTAAATTGCTAGTAGCTTTCAAGCAATGGTATGCGGACAACAAGTAGTTTGGAGATGGTAACTAGGAAAAACAAGCTTCTTGTCTTAGCGTTAATTTCCAAGTCCATTGAAGAGTTTGATAGGCTGGGGAAGGTGGGGAATTTTAACATGACTACCTTCGTGAACTCAGGCCACATACCTCCTAAGTTTACTCTGAAGATCAACATTTTAAGTAGCCAGTTGTTTATTACAAAGAACATTGTCTGGAGCTTAGAAAGTGCTTGGTTAAATTACCTTTCATATGTAATTTTTCCCTTTTTTTAAGGCCCCAGGTGTTTAAGGTATTATTTTGTTTGTGTAGTTTTACCGATGCAGAACTTGATCTGGAAATTCTATTTTATATGAAGACTTTATATGTCATTCAGAATCTCCTTTGATTTTATAATTACTAAACCATATTGGCATTCTTTTTCTTTAATGTGTCTTTCAAACTCCAAGCAAAGGAAGCAGAAAGGCAGGCATAAAAGTCCCTGGGAAGTGTTTATAGCTCTGTTCTGTCATGGTGCACAAACAAATGCTGATGGAGTGTGAATACAGCATTCAAGAATGCAAGCTTAAACTTTTGTGTGGTCTTTACAGGTCCTTGTGAAAAGATTCATGATGAAAATCTACGTAAACAGTAAGTATGTTGGTTGATGTGTTAATGCAAATAGAGTTTCTAGTGTGCTTGAAATTGCCTAAAAGCAACCCAACCATGAGAAACTAATTGCTTTTTGATTTATGTAAACATTTATTTAAATGTATAATATTCTCTTACCTTGAGCAAGAATTTATAACATTGCAGTTTTTATTATTTATTTTTCATATATTATGGAGTGACATGAGCTTTCATTTTTAAAATATTTTACCAGATACGAGAAGAGCTCTCGTTTTATGAAAGTGGGCTATGAAAGAGACTTCTTACGCTATTTACAAAGCTTACTGGCAGAGGTAGAACGCAGGATTCGAAGAGGCCATGCTCGTTTGGCACTGTCACAGAATCAACAGTCTTCTGGGGTGAGTCTGAAAGAATCATTGGGGCAATTTTTCCTCTAGATAGCGTCTTTATGTTCTCTTTACCTTGCCTCTTTGGGTAAAAGATACTGTTTTCCAGAAGATTCCCATTAAATAAGTCTCTTCATCTGTTAGCCAGCAGATTGCATCTAGCCCTAATGGACAAGCCAAGTGGCTCCACAGTCAGCAAGAGTCTCTCTCTGTTCTCCCCGTCTCGGTTTCCTCAGAATCAGTCTCCGTTCTCTGCCCTGGAACATTAATCCTATCAAGTGTTGTCTTTACCCTCTTAACCTCAGTTCACCTTCTCTCCCTTAGTGGCATATTCCTCCTTCCCTCCACTAGTAAGCTGTATCACGGTGATAGTACTGAAGTAGGCAAGCACTGGGTCTTTCAGCAGCTGATGGAGCTAAATCCCCCTGTCAGCTGCCACCCTTAGGCAGTAGCCTCTTTCTGCTCCAGCACCACCATTGGCAGGCAGTGATGGAATCGCGGAAGTTTGAGAAAGAAATACTTCTGTGCAACTTTCTCAGTTCCAAGCTGCATACTGGACAGCTGTTAATGAAAGGCTTAAACTGACTGGGAGAAAAATTTTACATGTTTGCTCCACTCGTTTTTTCTTGTCCCCTGACTGATTTGGAGCAGCAACTGTGGCCTGTGCTCTGAGAGTTTTCTGACTGTTAGGGTAGCCTTGCTCCTTTTTGCTGCCCCAGTTAATTGTTCTGTGCAAAGTCCAGTTGCTTCAGAAGGAGCTGTGGACAGTATCTTCAGTCAAGAGAGCTTATTAGCTGTGGAGTAGAGCAAAGGTTGTGGGGGAGGCAGATGTAAGTCTATTCCGGCAGCCTACAGAGATGACACTACTAATAAGTGCATTCTGGATGAAGTGACATTCTTTTTGCATTTATGCTCAGAAGCTAAATTTCAGAGCCCACAGAACTTCTAAGTCATTCTTGAGTGTCTGCGAAGATACGTAATAGCTGCATGGCAGTTTCAGGGTTTAAATTTAGGACTTTGAATTCAGATGTCATACCTTTTATGGGCCAGGGCCTTCAACGGTTTTGTTGATTTAGGAGGAATTAGTGGGACCAGAACTTGCTTCACTCAGCAAAAGTGGAGAAAGCTGTGTTGAGGAGTGCTTTATGTTAGACTAGACTATTATTAGTAGGTCTTCACGGGAGAAGAGGCAGGAGAATGTTATTCCTGAAGTGTTTCTGGAATATGAGAAGCCATATATTCGTGTGTTTTAAAGTTATTTTAACTAAAACAAAACAAAAAAACCCACTTGTACTGTTTGGCAGGGAGCGGGACCTACTGGTAAAAATGAAGAGAAGATTCAGGTGTTAACTGACAAAATTGATGTACTTCTACAACAGGTGAGGTTTTTTTACCCCCTGTAAGAGAGATCTCTTGCTTTTGTTACTTGATTAAAAATTATAGTTGAATTTTTTTGTTGTGCTTTAGATTGAAGAACTAGGTTCAGAAGGGAAAGTGGAAGAGGCACAAGGAATGATGAAACTTGTTGAACAGCTGAAGGAAGAGAGAGAATTGCTGAGGTCTACAACTTCAGTAAGTAATGTGTTTGTAGTTCTGTCAAACTTATTTCAAAATTTGGTGCAACAGTATGTTCTTAATAACCTTGTCCTTACACTGAAGGCATGCAAGTTCTGTGCAGAATTTATTAGACAATAACATGACATTTAAATGTGTTAATCCAGCGTGTTGATTTAGCATGCTACCTTGAGACGGGGTTTCTTGCACACAGATTATGAAGTTATTTACATGGCAGTCCTGGAGGTGAGCTTGCGTCTTAACTCTAGTTCAGGTCTCAATTAAACTTTGCCATGTAGCCTCTGCAATATTATTTCACTGAATTAACAATCTGACTGTGTTACATAAAGCCCTTGTGTTAGGGCTGTGACTAGAGACAGGCATCTGACTTAGAGAGCTACAGAAGCCAAAGGTAATGTGTTAAGTAGCAAGTTCCTGTCAACAAAAAGGAGCTTATGTTTAAACATCGTATTCGGTGTTTAATAATATGCTTAAATTGTGATTCCTGTTTTATTTTTTTAAAGTTCTTAAATGTTGCAGGACAGTTTGTGTCCATACTATATGATTCATAAACACTGTGCAGCAATAATCACTTGGGTTTATGTTGAAATTCCAGTGTATTTCTCATATGTCTGTTGAAACAGTGAATTAATTTCACCACCATTCTTTTAAGTAGAAGCCCAGTGTTCCTTTTTTTATTTCTTCATGAGGTATTCTAGCCTTTTCATTCCTTGAGACATACTCCGTGGTTATTCTGCAGCTCCAGACATTTCAGTTGGTGCCAAAGAAACCATCTTAAGAGAAAACTGATTTTTATTTTCCTTAATCCCGAGATAGCAAGGAAGCTGCAGATATGGCTATATACATATTACTCCTTTGCAGTGAGGAATACGGTTTGTTTTGTGTGTTTTCTAATTGAGTCTTTCCTTGTGACTTACGTGGAACGGGTGTATGTAGCCTATTTTTGCCCTCTTCGCCCTAGTAGGTGCAGTGCCCTGAAGACAAAGCGTGCAGTTAGGATTTTCAGCTTTCACTAGTGCCTAGGATTTGACAAGAGTAACAGTAAAGTTCTAAACCTCTTTGCTGGCTTCTAGCTAAAACTTTTCTTTTGCTTTATCAAATGTTTTTCTTTTGCAGACAATTGAGAGCTTTGCAGCCCAAGAAAAGCAAATGGAAGTTTGTGAAGTTTGTGGAGCCTTTTTAATTGTAGGAGATGCACAGTCCAGGGTAGATGACCACTTGATGGGAAAGCAGCACATGGGTTATGCCAAAATAAAAGCTACTGTAGAAGATTTAAAAGTAAGCATCTCTTCAGTTATTGAACATAAAAAATTGTTCGGAGGCTTCTTGTGGTTAAAAAAAAGGCTGTCCAGTGGACTTCCTCAAGTAGGTGAAATACTCCAAAGACGGTGTATAAAAATTAAATGGAATCCTACTGCACGTGTAGCATTGTGCTTGCACTGACATTCTTTGCCGTATGTGATTACACTAGATATAAGCAAAGATGTAAATTCAGGTGGGAATTTTTTGTGGCCTTTGTAAAGAACTGTAGTGTGGCCTCTGTTCTTGTGAGAATGACAAGCAAAAATGTTCTGCAAGACAAAGGATTTCCATTTCAGGGATTTTAGAAAGCGCTTCTATGTAGGCCGTCCTTTGTTTGGGGAAAAAAAAAAAAACCAACCCTGAAATATTTTAAAAACTTAAGCTTCTACATCCTCAGAACGTATAAACTAAGTTGTATTGAATGATTTATCTTGATTAATCTTAATTTCTTTGTGTGAAATTTTTTTAAGGAAAAGTTACGAAAAAGAACAGAAGAACCTGACCGTGATGACAGGTTAAAAAAAGAGAAACAAGAACGAGAGGAGAGAGAGAAAGAGAGGGAACGGGAAAGAGAAGAGCGGGAAAGGAAGAGACGACGTGAAGAAGAAGAAAAGGAAAAAGAGAGGGCTCGTGATAGAGAGAGACGTAAAAGGAGTCGTTCACGGAGTAGACATTCAAGCAGAACATCTGACAGAAGATGCAGCCGTTCACGAGACCACAAAAGATCAAGAAGCAGAGAAAGAAGGCGAAGCAGGTATGTTTGTGTATGTGTAAGTATTTTCATGTAACTTTCCAAAATGTAAAAATCTTGTGGTGACTTGATCTGTCAGCCTGCATCACATCACTGATTTGTTAGCTTCGCTGTTCTTATCTCTTAAGTGAAGACATACTTTACTGGTTCTAAGGATAAGCAAGTCTTGCTGCATGTTCACTGTCTTCTCTCTTCACTTTTGGAAGTAGATAACACCATTGTGGTGGAAGTGGTCTTACGAGGGAGCTTTGAGTAGACAAATGCTCCCAAAGAACAGGGTCTTGTTTTTTCCTGAAGTTGGTCTTTAATTCATAGTAGTGGATATGTTTAAGCTGTGTGGTTGAATGTTTGAGTAAATGAAGAAGGCAATATGAAGCCAGGTCTTACGTACTGAGAAATATTTATATACAGTATGCTAAGGCTTGGTTTAAATATTTGTTTTCTGCAAATAATCAATGTATTAGAAAGTGCTACTGTTTTACTATTTTATCTTCTGAGTTAGAAAATACCAGCTGACATTTACATTTTTGACATTTTCTCTGAATGTTAAGGAGTCGTGACCGAAGAAGAAGCAGAAGTCATGATAGATCAGAAAGAAAACATAGGTCTCGCAGTAGGGACAGGAGACGATCAAAAAGCCGGGATCGGAAATCCTACAAGCACAGAAGCAAAAGCAGAGAGAGAGAACAAGACAGGAAGTCAAAAGAAAAAGGTATGTTTGTGTGAAGACTGAGTTCGTATAGTTCTGAAACTTAATCTTTCCCTGAAGTCTCAAAAGCTCTTAGTCTTGCAGTGAGTGACTGAAAGTTCTTCTTAGCATCAAATCAGGTCTGGTTTTATAAACTGGATATGTTGCTGTTAACCAATTTGAAGCATTTTGTTCATTCCAGTTACCGTTAATGCACATGCGTGCATACATACACCCCAGTGTCCACCTCTTACCTGTTACAGTAGTTATTAAAAGCTTACCACTTTGTCTGCAAATTAAATGTGTGAGGATTTTGATGTATTTTAAGACCTGTTTACTGTTTGCCTTTAGAAAAACATAAGCCTGTAATCAGATTTGCATAAGAGTGAATATCTTCTACTGTTAACAGATATTTCTGTAATTACCCTTTGCTGGTACATGTTTTGTGGGAGACTGATAGCTGGTTTTTCACCTGTACCGTCTATTGCTTCTCTACACTATCATGTTTCCTTTATTTTCCTTTAACAGTGCTTTTCAGTGGTGTTTTTTTTTTTTTCCTAATCTATGAATGCAGTCCAAGATAAATCTTGCAGAATTTCTGTAATGCTCTAAATTACAATTTCATGCCCTCTCCCCAGTCTCCTGCTCTTCCCCCATCCTTCCCCCTTAGTTTTTTGGTTTGTTTGGGGGTTTTTTTGTTTGTTTGTTTTTTTAATTAAGTGAGATTTCCTTTGTCAGTATTCAGGTGAGTCTCAAAGGAATGCTGTATTAGTCCTTGGAACGCTTTTATAGCAGTATATGCCATGTACAACAGCATTGATGGTGACTCACTGTTTCATCAAAGGCTGGTGTTCAGAAGCTTTCACAGATTCACATTCTGTGAAAAGATACTAATTCACTGTTATTGCTAAATTTCCCCCTTTAAAAGCCTTTTGAAACTTCTGGAGGAATGTAATACTAACTTCTGGCTTAAACGACTGGCTCTGTTGGGGTGCTGACTGATGTCCAGTCTGAAACAGCCACCCCACTTCATTATTAGAGCTGACCGTCAGTGACGGAGGAAACAATGCTGTTATGTTTCTAAGGTACTTTTGAGGTTCTCTGGAATGAAAGGTGCTATGTGCATGTTTCTGGATTGCACAGGCCTGTTTGCCCTACCCTTTTCCATATTTATCCAGCGGATTAGTTCCCAAAATGTTGGTAATGCTTCGTGTATTTTTCTTGCCTGACTTCCTTGGACTGTTTTAATTTTTCTGGTTTATATTACAGTGCATCTTTAGTATTGCTTCTTCTCTCATTTTGCTTTGCCCTTTATAAGCAAGTGGTTTTTAGCTGCTTGCTCATTGGCAGTGGAACTGATGCGTAGTGTTTAAACTCAGATTCAGTACTGTAGCCTATGTCCATTTGTTACTTTATTCCTACCTGATACTGTGCCTTTTTTGCCTCCTTTATGAACAGATTTCTGGTACTTAGTCAAGAATGTCCTATTCAGTATTCTGTGTGTATCTATGCATATAAATAATTGTGTTCTTATTTATTCAAATTTGGTCTGTTTTTGAGCTTAATGGCTGTTCAGTTCTTTCCTTAATCCTTAAATAGAGGAGCTAGTGAACTTTCTTCAGCATCTCAATATTTTTAGTTCTAACTTGACTGATTTCCTTGCTGGCCATTTTATTTGCTGCTTGCTACTTTCTTCCTCCAGAAATGAGAACAGTGAGGTGATGCTATGAACTGTGATGAAAATTCCACCTGGGAAAATCAATTGCTTTTTTGACTATGTAATCGTAACATTTGTAGAAACACAAATAGGCCTTAGAGCAGGACTGTAATGCTGAAGAATTTTGTGTTCCCTTTGTTGGGAAAATCTTTAATAAAAAAAGGAGAGGGGAAAAAGGAAAAAAATCAAACGAATAGTATTTAACAAGCAAGCACTGAATTACTATGATGAAACTGTAAACACCATTACATCCTCGTGTTTGCAGTGTGGCATTGTAGGTAGTTAAGTAGACAGCTTTAGAGGTTCATAGATCTGAACCATGTGGCTGGCTACCTGCTCTACTGTTTGCACAAAAAGAAGTCACGTAGAAGTTAAGACTTAACGTATTACATTTGGTAATATTGGCTTCAGAATCCAGTTGTCTTTATATCCACCATTGGTCTGCAATTATAGAAGTAAGCAGCAAAGGCCTGGCTGTAACTACTCGTGGTAGTGCCTTTCATCTTGAAATCTCAAACGGCTTTATAAACATCAGTCTTAACAGGAGAAAAAGCAAGGCACAGTTGCCCAAGACTTGCCTACTCTTACACATTAAATTAGTGCCATACTTTGAAAATTCGGAGGTCCTGGCTTCTTGTTCACTAAAATACTGTGGAATACAGCGACCTTTAAGATTGTAAGAAAAAAGTATATGTAAAAATGGAGACAATTTCTGACTCAGGTTTCAGGAGTACATTTGCTAAAGGAGGGAGCCTGCCAGCCATAAACACCAGCTGAGCATTAGCTTAAAATAAACCAGCAGAACGCAACTACTGTTCAAGTAAACTAACTTCAAAGTAGGTGGAATAAATAGGGTTGGTGTGTTTTTTAAGAAAAGGAAAACATCTGTTCTGGAAGTACCTTCATTTTATGAGGGGTTTATACTGGAACATGCCTCCAGAGCACTTTAACTTGGCTCTTTAGCTTCCTTGATCTGGATTCATATATAAAAATAACTGTATTTGTGATTGTGTTTTCATGTTAGTGATTAAACCTCAGCAGATACTGTCAGAACACCCAAACCCTCAGTAACACTGGATATTATGTTTGATTTTTGCATTCTTTGAACAGTAAAACCATTCACATTATCTTGGTAAGAATTCTCACAAAACAAATCTCAGTTGCCCACACGAACTCAGTCAGACAAATGTGCATGTGTTGAATCAGGAAGCAAAGTCAATATTACATGATGATACCTAATAGATCACAGCTCAAATAATGTACACAGTTTCAACAGCAAACTAATTGTATGTGCTTTTAAAGAAAGAAATCTTAGTGATTGAAAATACAGTGGAGGAACTTAACTGCTTGCAGATACTCCAGGAGTTGAGAGAAGTTCAGTTATTGGACTATTTGTTGAATACAATTTCTCAGTTCTGCTTGGCAAACTGGAGGTTTGCTATGGTAAAACTATTTTATTAAAGTTTTTAGAAGAGTTTCATCTCTCATACCACAGTTTAATAGTAGGTTTTTAACCTTAAGCAAAATTATCCTTCCCGACCAAATTCAAGAAACAAACAAGACAGAACAAAACCCTGCACACTGCACATCCGTAGGGCTATTAAGATCTACCATATCTACATAGGACAGAAGATAAGATTATTGGACTGACTACTAGTCCTCTGCGGGGAAACAAGACTACTATTCCTCAGTGGATCTACGTGTGCATCGGAGATACCTATAAGACACAAAAAGAAGACTTTTTAACAAGGTTAGTTAGAGTGCAATCTACCTGCGGAGTTGCAAAACCGAGGGCAGACAGATACAAAATTACTAGTTCTTCAGTTAGCTTTTTGACATCGCTGGGTGCTTTCTCCAAGCACCGTGCACTGGATGTGCTGCTTCAGATGAAACCTCAGTAGTAGTGTTCGTTAGGCAGTTGTCCTCATTTCTGTGGGGGGGCTTTACCCCTCCCTTTGGTGGTCTGTTTTTAAACAAAGAAGTTGGGATGTTGCTTCTCTTTTAAAGCTTAATTTCTACTTTGTCTTCTGAAATACAAAAGTGTGTTATGCCAGTCTAGGTCATAACATTATTTAAAATAGCTTTTTCAGAGTGTTCAATCTGTGTTGGGGAGAGATATATATATATACTTATATTATTTATTTTAATTGCCCGGATAGCAGGGAATAATCAGAAAAAAAGAGCATGAATGTTGTTCTGTATGATGACATCCGAGAGGTTGGTTTTTCAGAACTTTTTTTTTCTCTCTGAAGTGTCTTTACTGATCAAAGGTTGAATATTACGGTGTAAAATAATACATAAAGAATTGATGTTTTTATTAAATTTGCAAATACTGAATTTACGGATGAGGCACGCAGCTCTAATACTGAATGTTTTTCTTCCCATGGAAATATTTTTACTTCTGGCTTCCTTCCTTCTTTGAAGATTATTGAGAAAAGATGAGTTTTTCAGCAGTGTAGCAAACTCTTCAGCTTTCCAATTCATGATGGAATTGTGGGGTCCTTCCATCTTGCTGTTCCTTTGCCTTTGGAAAATAGTGCTTTTTATAGATCTTCCAAACTGTCTCCCCAAGCCTTTTTAATGAGTGGATTATAAATGACTGCTGTTTTTATAAAATTGAGAATTAATAATGCTGACAAGCATGCTGCTTCTGTGACATACTGTACAGTAAAGTTAATTTTGATTGTCACTGTGATCCCCCCACCTTCAAAGCTAGCGGTCCTTAATATTGTTTGTTTCCCCGAGTATTTGATTGTTCGGGGTTGCTAGTTTTTTTAATTGGCAAGTATTGATTTATTTGATGCACTGACGCATTGTCGCATCACTCTTTTCTGCTTCTCTTTTCAAGACCCGTATTTAATGAGAATTGTAAAACCAAAGAAGGCCATACACATCATATTAAAACTTGGGGACAAAGAGTCCCACGATAAGTAAGGAAGCCATGCATCATAATTACACATTTGCCTAACTTCTTGACTACCTCTTTACCCCTGATTTTCAACAGACAGCTGAGTAGCTGCCCCTGTTAGGAAGTCTGTCCTTTCTCCTCTTTTCCCCACCCTGTACTGTCCCCTTTGACCTTTTTTTGTACCCCCTCCGGTCCAGCATGGTAGTCTGAAGCCTATTTCTGTAACTTTCTGAGTATTACTGTTACTGCTATAGAAAGTAATTGTCCCATTTTGTATGCAATATATATCTCACATGTGCAATGTTTGTTTTTACTTTGAAATCCATGGTCAATGTCTTCTTTCATGGCAGAAAAGAGGGGATCTGATGATAAAAAAAGTAGTATGAAGTCCAGTAGTCGAGAAAAACAGAGTGAAGACACAAATACAGACTCGAAGGAGAGTGATACTAAGAATGAGGTCAATGGGACCAGTGAAGACATTAAATCTGAAGGTGACACTCAGTCCAATTAAAACTGATCTGATATGACCTCAGATCAGACAGAGGTAAGTGCATTATTTCAAACTTTGATTAGGGCTTTTTGTTACTGTTTAACAGTGCAGCGTAAGTATGCACAGATGAAGATGGAACTAAGCCAAGTAAGAAGACATACTAAAGCACCTTCTGAAGGAAAAGACAGTGTAGTCCTGCAAAACATTTTGAGGTACATTGTTTTGTCTCAGCTATTTTGTAGCAGACTCGTGCCCCCATTAGTGTGCCTCTTTGGGACATATTTGTAATATAGCCACCATAGAAAAATTAATTATCCTTTTTTATTTTTAGGGATTTTGTTATCGTTTTTTTTTAAAAAGTTGAACTGTTTTTGTATTTAAGTCCATATTGTGTTGGTACATCAGCAGAAACTTTTGCTTAAATACTTAATATTTGAGGCACATGTTGGACTACTTTGTTTTCATATAAACTGCTAGTATTTCTTTGTCAAGGATGTTTCTAGTTTTTTTGCTTTATTGCCTTGCATTCTAATGCAGTTTGTTCTGTAACTCGAGAGCCAGTAGCATTGGATTGATGGAAGTGTAGGGTTTATGAATTATTGCAGCTGACTACCATACCTCACACAGCGTTGGTGTTGTGAGCGGCCCATGAAAAGCCAAATTAAAAATCAAGGATTCAGTCAAACTAAGCAGGTACTCATGCCAGGTACTCCTTTCTCTACCCACATCCATGTTTGAATGCTGTTGCCTGTAATCTTTAAGCTTACTGTTGTGTTTTTGATTTTCAAGATAGTGAAAAGGACTTTTTGTGTATTGTGTGAATACTGTAAATCTGATTTTAACAGAATGGAATTTTCTTTCAACTGTATGTAGGGATGCAGTGCTGCCCAGAATTAGATATCTTTAAAGAGTTTAAAATGCAATAAACACTACATAATAATCGCCTTGTTACTTTCAATGCAATTCAAGTCTTTAAGAGGTATGTGTTTAATATTTCCTACTGTGTAGGAGAATTTGCAGTCAGCCATAGTACAGAGAAGTGGAATGGCTGATAACAGACTTCTAAGGCAAATGTAAATACAAAGGCAGATGCCACCAGATGATTACAATGTTCATGGCAAGAATGTATGCTGAAAAACTTTGTTGGAAATGAAACAGCTAAACAATAGGAAATGCATATACTGTACTGAAAGGCAAACTTGAAGTTTTTTCCCCGCTCTTGACATAGCTTTCTTACTCTTACAGAAGGTCTGTAGTTGTATTCCTGAAATAAGGAACTAACAATGGAGAGTACAGCTGATAAATGAGCTTCTTGCAACATAATTTGTTACTGTAGTTTCATTATTTATGCTAGGAATTCTTAAACACTTAATGTTGATTATTAAACCATTAATGCTACATTATTGCTTCTAAAGCCAGTCATGTTCAATGTTGACATTTTTGTAGAGTTAAGATGACAGCTAACAACTGGGCCAATATATAGGAATGGTAAACTAAATGCTCTTAATGCTGTCTAATTGTCTGTTTTCCCAAAATTTTGCATTATAGGACTACTACATGAAGAGTCTGCGAAGACAGCGGAAGACAGCTTAAACTGAAGATCTGCTTTAAAATGAGGTGAAAGAAAGCTGTAGTGGCGTAGAAAAATATAAAGTTGAGTTAGAAATTTTTTTTTTATAAAATTTAATTCAGGACTGGTGTTTCCTCCCAGAGTTCAGAAAGATGTGTTGATAATAGCACATATGCTACTGAGAATATAAGTCCTGTATCCTTTTTTTCTTTAAGACTTTTTAAGATAAGAAACCAACATAACCTGAACACATGGCTTGCTCAGTGTTTAATTGCAAGTTTTCATTCTTGGACTTTAAGAACACAAAAATAAATGTTTAGTATTTGTGTGAATCGAACTAAAATGAATCCCATTTTTACAACTAAGCTATTCCTAGCTTCTTGATATACGAGAAATGGAAATAAAGTATCTTTGAATTTCTGTTACAAATTTGATTGTCTCTGTCATTGAACGTTTAATATTAAATAAGTTTCTTTCCTAATAAATCTACTCATGTCTTCAAGCTTAGTCCATTAATTTGGATGCTTAGTTATTCTGTGGTGTTTGTGGGTTTGGGGTTTTTTGGTGCCATCAATTAGTATTTCATTTCAAGCTTACTTTTTCAGCGGTTAGATGGCTATTGGAGTCTGTGTCCCCTAAAAAGTGCGGCTTATGCTGCAGTTGGGTAAGCAATTACAGAGATCTCACAATAAAAATGTAGGCCTTAAGCCCTTATAAAGCAGTTAGACTTTTACAGCATTATCAGAAAGATGCCACTGCTGAGATCGGCCTTCAGACTGCCTTCATTTGCATTGTGGTATCAGTTTGGAATATTAATTAACAACTGTATGCAGTTGGTAAGCACGCACAGTCTGCATTTAGAACAGATACAAGGGAAAAGAGCTTTCTTGTGAAGCTGTAGTGCGAGCAAGCGTAGCTCTCATTGGAGAAGAGCTGCAGCGTGTGCTACTCGGCAGTGGAGACAGTAAAGTGTACCTCAGTGCTGTGTCTGTAAGGCGTTGAATTCACACTTTTAAAAAAAGCATTATCCTTCGTATTAGTATTCAGGACTTGACCATACACGTAACTGAAGTCATACTTGGACAAAGCACTATTGTAACTTGCTGCTTCTAATTTTGGTGCCTTGTATCATCTGTTTGTGGAAGTGCACTCATGAACAGACCTGCACGTTGGTCCCTCTGGTGAAATGGAGTGCTGGTTTTTGATAAGGGGGGGTACCACACGCAGACAGCCGTGTTCCCTTCTTCACTCTTATCGTTCTAAAGCAGACACCCACACGGGGGCACAGAGGATTGAGAACTGGGTGGTGGGGTTTTTTGGAAAAACTTAACAAGAAAAATTAATGTAAGTGGGAGCAAGTAAAACTGAACTTAGTTCTAGTCACGGACATCGCATGAGCGCCTACTCCTTTTGAAACTTGTAACTTTGGCCAAAACGTTTGCCTTGCACCTTCCATCGCACATACTTGTTACAGGACTAGCATTTTCCCCTTCCTTATTTTGCACAGGTATAAATGGTAAAATGAGGTAATTTATAGTCACTTGGACTGGGATTCAGATTCTGACATGTCTGGTAGTGGAGTCTTTCTCTAGCGCATTGAAGATGAAGGAAGAATTCTGTCTTTCAGAGCATAGGAAACATGGTGCCTTTCTAGTAACTACCTTCAGATTTGACTGTAACGAGCGTCTCCCCAACAGATTCATCTATGTGAAAAGTGTCATCTTCAGAGCTCGAGCCCAAGATAAATATAATCTCAGATTTTCTAGGAATGCTATGCAAAAAGCAAGTAGCTTATCTAAGCAAGCACCTCCTACGTGCTTTCTCCATACTGGTTGTTGGCAGCCTGACAGTCTTTTATTAGGTGTTAAAAATGTACTAGCCCGTCACTTTTCAAAGTTGTGTTAGAATTTTAAGAGCGCCCTGTCCACTCTAGAGTGCCATGTATCACCCACACACACACACGCCGTGCTCCCCACCCCCTGAAAAAGGAAGAGATCTAGGTACTTGAAACAACTGATATACTTTAATATAAGTGAAGAGTAGCAATGTCAGTATAGTACAAGTTTGTAGTGCAAACAAAAGTTGTCCTTGGAAGAACAGTAAGTTTTGTAAACTTAGTTTCAGTTGTCATACCAACAGTTTATTGTTCCAAAAAAAAAAAAACCCACAAAAAACCAACATAACTAGTGTGCCTTAGAGTTTATCAAACTGCATAAAACATACAAAAATATTTCTCTGAATGCATAGACTTACTGTTATTACAGTCAGATAATGATTAAACTTTTAGTCTTATCACATTAACAGTTATTCTTTGTGGAAACTAGAGCAAATAAAGCTTTTTTTAAACCAGCTGCTCCTATAGCTGAATGTTTGGTAATTAATGGACGCAGTCTTTACACTGATTTCCTAAACAAAGGAACCGAAAAGAAATCAGATACTCTTAATTTTGAGTCATTCAACTACTACTGTTTTTCAAACAGTTATTGCACATAATCTGAACTAGCCTCCAAGCTATGCCGAAAAGATAAATACGCAATTGTTAAAATAAAAACTCCTTTCCTGGCCTACAAGAAAAACAAAGCGAGGAGCCATAGTTAGGAAATTTTACTTCATACTGTGTCGCAGTAGCTCAGCTCCTGGAGAGAGAGGGGCCGGGATTGAGAACGGGGCGTTAGCAGAGTTTAAGTGATAAGATGGATATAGAGCAAGTGGGAAAGGATGATAATTACTCTGAATGCGCTAAGCAAGAATTTTAAGCCTAGAGTAACTTGGTGAAATCCTGAACCGAGAGTCAAGCGTCTCTTCTGCTGGCAGAAGGGGTTTCTATATTCTTCTGACACGCATGCTGTTAGTGACCTCGCGTGGAGGAGCCACTCCAGGGATAAAGCAGCTGTGCTGTGGGAAGCTAAGACCGGGTGGCAGCCATGCTGCTCCTACCAGACATGTTGATTGTACTCTTTATGGTCTGAATGTCAACGTGAGGATCCAGATCGACAACAACAAACACTGCATCAGCTGTGCATCAACTCCGCTCTAATGCCGCTTAATGAAGGAGAGATGGAAGGGAAATCAATGCTGTTGGCGGGGGGGGAGCAGCTCATGTCCAGAAACAACTCCCTCACCCCTGCACCCACCCCAGTACCCAGGTCAGGTTTTTGGAACAAAACAAAACAAAAAAAACTCCTACGGTATAACTTTGCAAACTACCCCGGGAACAGGAAAAGCTCCAGGGTGTTAATACTGCAGCAACGCTGCGACTTAAAATACTTTGTTCGGCGTGAGATGGAGTGACTCCAAGGTGTGTTTTAATGATGACTTTTGCCATTCGTAAAACCCCAGATGGATGTTTTCATCACTGACTTGCTTAAAGACAAGTTAAGCAGTCTGTAGCTTAACCACAGTCTGTTGGGGTTTTTTTCCCCAAAAAAAAATTCAGTTGAAAGCACCTGGAGGCGTTCAGCCCTTGCGGTACTCATCTGGCTAAAGCTTTGGACACTCTCAAAGTGATAGTAGACTGTGCAACGTGTGAAGTGACAGGTTAGTTATTTGCTAATGGTGTGTGTTACCAGTTTAGCACGGCTCATCAAGAGCGTGGTATGCTCCCTCAGGCTTGTGATACCTCAAGAGTATACTGTTGTGCTTCTCCTGCGCCTCACGCAAGCAGAAACTAACCACACACCCTGCCCTGTAACTGGTGGGTGAGGGTGGGCCATAAAGAAGTCGCTTGACTTAACAGTACTGACTTCTGGTGAGTAATGCGTAGTCTCCTCACGTCGTTGGGGAAAAAAAATGCGTAAAACCATGGACACGGATTTGTGATCCCCTCCTGAGCTCCTGAAACATAAGGGCTTTCCTTTGAATGGGCACTTTAACTTGCTTTGTGACTTAACTGCTCCTTAATTAAGAGGCTTCCCTTTATTTTTTTTTTGTGGCGGTGGAGGGATGCCATCACTTAAGTTACAGTATTCTCATATAGGAAAGAAACAAACATTTAAATGTGGACGCTCTTAGTCCGCAGTCACTTTCAGCCCAGTGAACATTTTTCTCCTGTCACTTCAGAGCATGAAATATTTCTGTCCCCAGCAGGCAAGACAATGCATCTTGGTGAGTCTTCGTGAAGGGGCAAGAGGTGAAGGACTTGCAAGTTTTACATTTTTAAAGCGTGACTGTTCGTTGTATGCCGAATACCCTCTGATGTTTAACTTAATCAGGAAGTTTAAAATATATATATATATATACACACACACACACGCACACAATTTCCTGAATCTCTCTTCCAAGACTCTTATTTGGTCAAAAAGTAGGCGTAATCAATGTACTTTTCATATCAATAATTAAGTCTTTCCTGCCCTCTGTTGCCAAATACAACCCATAAAGGTCACTGAAATACATTGGAAGCATGTGATTTTAGTAGACAAATGAGGTATCCCTTATCTGAATACAGTATCGAGTAAAAAAATAAAAGCAAAGGGGATATTAAATATAAAAGATAAACTATTAGTTAAAATAGTAACCCTAACAATAACTTAAGGTTTTACACATGCTTAATTCACTGCCTTCAAAAGGCAGCAGCATATAGTTACCAGGTTTTCATACTCTAGAGGCATCTAGAAGAGTCAGTAGGTCAGCTTTGATGCTCTGCTGTTGTAGCATGGTCTCTCGGTCAAAGTCGATGCAGCATGTCTGAAGGGAGAGCTGTCGGTTTTCACAAGCACCAACTCCAGCTCTTGGAAGTCCTGAAGTCTGGCAACATCCTTGTCCTTTTAAAAAACAGACAGAACTATGCGTTGCTTCTAAAGGTATCTGGTCTTACTCTGTAAGTATTTATAACAATAGCTAAAGGAGGTAAAAAACTAAAATTCCAGGGAGATGACACCCAATGATGGGAATAAATAATGAAAGAAAAAAATCCTCCCGGTAAGACACTCTTGCTTTCAAAGCATGTTTGGGGCTTTTTTTCTCTCCTTGAACCTCATCGTGATTTGACTGTGTTTGTGCACGTCGCCTAACTAAGAGCTGGGACCAAATGCATTTCATTTACAGACCTCCAGAATAGGTATTTTTGGAACAGAAGAGCATCTTCATTTGTTAATGGCGTATCTTTAAATTATTCACATGCCAATTTGTGGGTTTTTCCCTTTACTACGTGTTCTTTTTAGGCAAGCAAACAATGAAGTAGTACATGGCAATTATGTTAAAAGCACACTAATGCACTGTTTCTGATACATTTAGGAAAAAAGTCAAGCTCTAATAGTTTCATGCGCTTTAGGAGCTGAAACACTCTGCCTGTTTTGACAAGAATATTTTTAAGTAAGTTGTGATGAAGTTTTACAATACCCTTTTGAATTTGTGAGCCTAAGTCAGTTTTTGTTTTCTAACACAAGGCCATCCATGTTTTGCCCATCTTTTTACAGAAATACCTTCTCTGATGTCTGCAGAGCGCAAAGTCAAATTAATCTCTGATTTCAATTCTTACCTTTCGTACTAGTGTATTAGGTAATTTTCTGATCTTCTCTACTTGTTCTGGATTAACGCCCAGTTCACAGCAGCTCACTCTGAGCAGATCTTGATAGGTCAGTTCCTGCCTGTCCAGTTCAATTTCAATGAAGTCATTGTCTCTGAGGTTCTGGACTCTCACCTTAAGCACAAGTTCTGATTGAAAAAAAGATTGAAAGGTTTTTTCCTCAAAAAAACCCAACCAAATAACCCAAACCTAACACTAAAGTATTCACCATTATCTTTTGAATTCAGGTTTTATAATACAATACCTATGATCTCACTGAGAAATACTGTGCAGTTAATGGAAGCTTCCATTTGAACAGAAAGAAATACACAGGGGAACCACGTTTACAATGTTAAAAACCTGATCCATCCAGTCACAAAGTCAAGTTGTTGCCAAACTACCAGAGATATGTCTGATACTATATAATACATTGCAAAATTTGAATTTTTATGTTGCTTGCACTGATCTTCCCATCATTTTGCAAAGTATTACCATGTTGAAAATACAGTATAACAGTTATTTTACTTAGCAGAGCAGAAAAGAAGTTCTGGGTACTTTTGGCCAAAGAATTCAACACCGCTGCCTCTGTTCCACATGAGTCTAAGCAGAATGATTCTTTAACTTCATGCTTCACCCAGTAACAAAAACATGGAACAGAACATAATAGCAGGATGGGAAATTACACTTCATTACCTTGCATGTTATATGGGAAAGTTCCAGTAAAGAAAAAGGGCTGAAACGTTGGTGCGGTACCAGTAGGCGAACTGTCGGTTGGCAGAGGTACAGCCTGCTTGGATGCTACCGGAGAGAACAGACCTCTGCTGCGAGGCAAGGCCGGCCGGCAAACGGGGCCGTTGGCTACGTCAGGCGTGATGCATTTTGGTGCTGCGACAGTTGCTGACGGGGCAGGCAGCTGTCCTGCAGCGTCTAGTGCAGGAAAATCATCTTCGCTGTTGCACGATGTGGGTGTGCATACGCTTTCAAGCTGAGTTGCTGATGAACAAGGACTAGTCTCACACTGGGAAGCAGAAGAGATGGAAGCACTTTCATTCTGGGATTCGGCCAAGCTGCCTGGAATGCTTTCTTCAGTGTAAACGTACGGGAACGGTGGGTTGGCCAAGTAGCTTGCAACAATTGGCAAATTTAAATCTTTCACTCCTTGACATTCAGTTTCTTCCGCTATTTAAAGAAGTTCAAAAATGGAGGGGTAGGGGATGGAGAGAGAAAAAACCCACCATGTTACTGGGTGTATCTTTCTCATTTTGAATATAGTTAGTTTTCCTATTGTGTCTTAAAACTACATCACATTCTGAGGTAATCAAAGGATGATACTAACTTATCATAAGCATGTAACGCCTGGAAGGCAAGTAGCTATAAAATGAAAGAAAAATCTACAAATGTCTACAATGTATTGTGTTTTTTAAAAGCAAAGTGGGAAAAAAATAACCGTTGAAAGATAGGTCATTTCCAGCAGTGTTACTCCAGCGTTTTCAAAGGAACTGACTGACCACAGTTCTTCACTAAATCTCATTTGGCAATTTTTTAATGACACTGCTGTAAATAGTTTATTATGACCCATGCCAACAAATTAAACCGAGCATTTCTTCGGGTACGTGCATATTTGATATAATACCCAAGCCAACTCCTCTTTTGCTTAAAAGTACTGCAGTAAATGACAGTCTTGCCTGACTGAGGATTACAGGACATTAATACTCATGTCAGAGCAGTTCGGAAAGATCTGCTCAATAGCACTACACTCCCAGGATAAAAACCATTTAGGAGGATATAAGTGATATGTGTTTATTCCCCAGGAAACACATGAAAGCTTAACAGACAGAAAAATACGGCAACCAGGAGCAGAGTTCATTCACGCACACTTGATAGTTTAGATGTTAAAAACAGAACGCAAGTCATTTGCCATGAACTAAGTCCAAGAGATGAGCACCTTGCCCAAAAGAAAACAAAAATACTCATGCAAAGAACATGCCATTCCTTCAGTTGTGACTGTTACAACCTTAGTCACGATTTAGCTGCGACTTCATTTAAGATAACTGTGCACTGCTGATGTAAGAGCGTATCACTGTAGAGAGCAATTTAGTGCAATTAGCAGAAGATAGAACACCAACATTTCCAAAGGTGAAGCACGTTAAAATTTTGATCTGGAGCACAGTAACTAGATGCTGATGGAAACAGGCACTGGCACTGTGACAGGAGTGTCACATACATCTAACTAGGTTTGCTGTGCATATGAAAAGTGCAAGATGACAGAATTATGGGGCAAAAAATTAATCATACTGCAAGTCACAGTATATCAAAATGCTCCGAGGCCGTAACTTCTGAAGTGCTGCAGTTGTTTTGAGTGGATTTGTAAGACTTCTTATGGTCAGACAACAGTCAGCTTGTACAGCTGTGAAAGTCTCCATCTGCAGCCTGCGTGCCGGCTTCTGCTTAATGAGTGCAAATATGACTGCAGCAGCACATTTCCCAAAGTGTACAGCACATTTCCCGAAGCGTACAGCTCTCCAACCTCTTGATGACACAGCTCAGAATAAAAGGCCTTCCTACCTAAAATCCCCACGTCTATTTGCCTAAGCATGAATTACAGTTATAAATCGGAGCTATCTAGTGAGATACAATAGTCCTAGCCAAAGTTTTGCCAATCTACTGCCTCAGATAAAAGCACTAAAAATGCTTTAGTCTTTAGACCAAGAATTCTAGATTACTTTTAAGATGGGAACAGTACCTCCCAAAATCTTCCGGATGTCTGGTTTTGAAGTTAACTGTGCAGCCAGCTCTCCTTTAGCGGTGAGGATCTGCTTATCCGCACCAGCATCCAGCAGGCAGGAGACCACTTGAGCATGGTTCCTCTTACAGGCCCAGTGCAAGCAGGTCCTGCGGGGAAGGAAGCAGAGGGGTCGTGCTGTCAGCCTCAGCTCTGTCGCCCCGGCTCCTCCTCATGCGCCTGTCCCAATTCGCCTGCGTTACATGTAGAGTGACTACAACTGGGAATAACGTTACCTTCATTGCATCGCTTTTTTAAAGTTAGGATTCTACTGTACGTTCTGCGGGGCAAGACCCTCCTTTACCTCGCCACAGCGTAAAGGGGGATTCTCCAGGGCTGTCGCAAAAAGCCGCGTTGGTGGACACGAGCAACTTCAGAAGAGGTCCTCGGGGAAACAACACGCAGTGACAGGTGGAAGGAGGATGGCCTCCTTTTGTTATGAGCCTCTTTAGCAGTAAATCTCAAAGCCTCCTGAGATTAGCATCTCCTTTTTCGTAAATAGGAAAACGAAGAAGAGCTGCGTCCCCAGGGCGGCTCTCCCCTACGTCTAACGAGGGCTGCCCAGCCTCATCGGGGGAGCCCCGAGCCCCGTACCTGCCCGGCCGAACACCCCCTGCAAGGCAAGGGCAGCGTCAGAGCCTCCCCAGCAGGGGAGCCGGGCCCGGCGGCAACCCCGAGCTCAGGGCC